CTTTTGCATATTCTTTTGTTGGGCTATATTTTTCTTATGGAGTTGTAAAAAAATATTTTATACTCCTTCATCTGTTTTATGTCACCAATATCTTCTTTATTCTCTTCTTTATCTTTTGAGTTTGTTTATGATGCGTTACCAATTTTGACGGAGGCAAATGTATCAGTCTTTTCCATCATGGCTCACATGTGCCAGGACTTGCTTAAGAAAAGCCTTGCTGACTCCTGTTGTCACGGGCATATTCGCTGCATATTTCCTTCTATCGTTTTGATTTTTTAAGGTTTGAAATTGAGGTGTCAGTGTGAAAGTTAAATAGAATTATCTAAATGTCAGGTGATTGTTCCAGAACAGAGCAGAAGTCAAAACCTACACTTAAGATATAGATTTGGGGCCTCTCAGAGTGGAGATATTTGAAACCACAGGCATACACCAGATGGTCCAGAGAAAGCAAGTAAAGTAAGAAAGAAGTGGGCCAGGGACACCAGTCGGAGGTGCACCCATAGTAACAGAACGATTGAACAAAAGGAGACCTAACAGGAATGCCCAGAGAGGTACAAGGAAAGCCAGGAAATGACGGATAAAAAGAACCCAGGAAGCAAACCCCAAAAAGCCTTGAAAAAGCCTGAAAGACCCCCGCCAATGGGTAAGGAAACCGGGAAAAATGCCTAACGGGTTAACCTTTTAAAAGAAGGAAAAAACTCCCCAAGCAACCTCCAACACCCAATCACCTTTCCGGTTCCAAAAACGAAAAAGGCCCAAGACCAAGGGGGCAATCCGGCAACCCAACAAAAAACCAACAAATAAATCTGTGAAGTCTTAGTTAATGCATAAATTTTGAAGTCTCTGTCTTTCCCTAAATCAATATATCAGAGCAAATCTTACGACTAAGCATTTCAAGACAGTGCTGTGGCCTTGTCACTCCGCTGTGTGACCCACACTGTAGAACTGGCTTCTAGTTCTCCTTCCTGTTGGTCCTGGCCTTTAACGGGCCAAGGTGGCACCGCTGGAGGTGCGAGTCTAGGAGGAACGTGGGGTTTTGCTGTCCGACTGTGCAGATATGAGAAGAGTGTGGAGTGTTCACGAACACCAGCAACTCTCTAATGTGCCCGTTAACTACCTCAGAGCCCGTGCATCGGCCATGGCTCTCCTGACGTTAGTTATTCCGTGGATTTACGAAGCACCTTTTTTTGAACTGTCAGTCTGTAAACTGCCTGTAAAATCTAGTCCACAGGGTGAAAGGGTGGAATTATTCATAAGATGGTTTTTACTTCAGCTCATGGTGAAATTACTCACTCAGGGTATAATTAAGTTATAGACACACCAGCCCAAATGTGGACAGAGGTGGGAAGGAAATAATTCCTTCTCCAATTTGGGTGCGTTCTGATGTTCAGCTAGCATCTGGTGTGTTAATTCATGAACAGAGGGGCACTCAGGGTCCCTGTACAGGGAAGAGAGAGGTTTTTTTGTTTTTGTTTTTCGGGAGAACTGAAGAACAATTGGCTGGGGAGAAAAGGGATAAGCAGAGTTTAAAAAGTTTAAGGTTGTAAACAGGATGACAAGAGTGAAATCCGATGGGTAAGGAAGGAAGTTGGAGCCTGAGAAAGGCAAATACAGCCACAGGAGAGGGGTCAGGTGGGATGTTTCTAGGCTGAGCAGGCACAGGGTAGGGCGTGCTGGGAGACACCAGGCCAGGCTGACCCCTACCGTGAGCAGAAGCCCTGGCCGAGGGCCTCACTGGCCATCCCCTCTGTGAGCTGCACTAGCATTGAGTCGTCGTGTGTAGACACGACCTGGTACACGCACACCCAAGCCAGTGAAACACACACACGCACATGGTGCAGACAAAGGAAAATTTATTGAGACAGACAGAAATGCACCTACTCAGGACTACAGTTAAGTATTTACTATAACCAAAGAGTCGTGTTCACATTCCAGATAAATCTACGTGGAAAAGCATTCAGAATTTACTAGGTTTTGCTACATCACTATTTCACCTACAATAGGGACAACAAACGGACACTCAGGATTTGATGGGCTGTCATCACAATGCTACACATTTAACAGGGACAGACATAAATGACTTTTGAGAAAAAGGTATAAAAAGACCAAAACCACCCACTGCAGAATGGCCTCTTAGATGTTACTGTACAGTGTGGTCAAGGTTAAAAGAAAAACAAAGAGTGAATGGCATTCTGGGAAGAGCAGAGGGGCAGTCCTGGACACACATGTTGTCATTTGCTGCTGTGGGTAGAGAAAGAGGCATAAAGAAGGAGAAATTGTTACAAAACCTTAAATTCAGTATTAAGATATTTCCATGCTGAGAATATTTGTAGAAACAAAAAGACATTAATATGGCAGGCAACTAACCATGGTGGAAGAAAATTATGGGATTTACGTTGGATGCCAAGGAAATGGTAGTAAATAAAATTAAAATAACTGTTTATGGAATAAGAATGAAACTATTTATAAGGACTTTCCAGAAGTGAGTTAGTGAGGATTCAACCTAATACCTATCTCAAGGGATGGGATTATCATGATACTGTTCTTTAAAAAAAAAAAATCAGTATTTTACGTATACTTGGCCACTGTAACTAAAGGGCTCCTTCCAAAAAGAAGAGGAAAACAAAAATTCTACTTCTGAGGACAAGATAAATCAATCTAATCTTTAGTACTTTCCACAAATACTAAAGATCTTTTAAAAACCTAATGCTGTCTTGCCAAAGCGAGGCGTGAAAAGCAGTGTCATGTTGCTCCGTGGATTTGGGGTTCCAGTCTGAGGGGGGCTTTTTATTTAATATTTTAATGAATCAAAGTATCTTCTTGGAATGTCTCTGAAAATGGCAGCTTAGTACCTTACTGGGAATTGTCTGTTGAGCACTCTTCTCCATCATCAAGTTAATGCTAAGGATCTTTAAGTGTCATCTTAATCTGACACTTGTCATAAGATAATTAGGCAAATTAAAATCAGTGGTTCACCCTGTGCCTGGAAGTTTTTCTAAGTAAAATCAATTTGTTCTCTTGTGCATTTTTCCAAGCTCAGAGGACATAGTAATAGAAGTTTTCTTTGATGGACTAAATGGAGATTTTTTAATGTGTTTTGATTTTATAATATACTTTATTGTAATTTAGCTGCAATTAAGTACTTGTTTTCTAAATCATAATCTCAAAGTTTTGTTCAAGTGAGAAAAAAGCTATTGAAACAGAGGCGATAGAGTTGAGATCCCAATACAGGGCTTGCCTCTGGTCTCTCTCTGGGGAAAGTAACTATTAACACAAAACCTTGGGGTCGCGATTATATTTGTATCTGCTACACCAAAGGACTTAGACCAACTCTATTGTCCAGCCAGTGAAAGGATTGGAAAATGCTAATTTGACATGTGCTGGTATATCCAAATAATAATTTGGGGTGGGAGGTTGGTCATAGTTTGGTTATGAATATATTTCTTGCCTGAGTTTGTAGGGTTGTCTTGTGGACTGGCTGAAGGTCGTGGGGAAGGCAAGAGACGGAATGTGGGCCAGAGAGCCTGGCTTGGGTGGCCGATTAGGGGAACCAGGTAGGGCAGGAGCTTAAGGACTGGTACTGAGCTGAATAGGGCCACTTTGAAGATGACTCTTTGGTACCTGTATATGGGACAGCTTGATAGAGAAATCCTAAAGAATGCAGAGATGACAACCCCACCGAATTTGGAACTGGACTCCAGTGAGTTTAGGGGAAAGCAGCAGAATGGTGAAGGGCTTTCTTCACTAGTATCTTGACACTTACTTGGGGGAGGTACAGAATTAGCTCTTTAAAACCCAGCGGTAGCTTCCATGTGCTATTATGAGGTTCTTTGTAGGCCTCTGTCTGGGATTGTTTGGTTAGTTTTTCAAAAAAATCTGTACAGCTTTTGTACCCTCATGATTTGTGGGTAGAAAGGGGGCAAAAGTAAAACGAGTTCAGAATACTGAACTGTCTTACGGAATGCCGTCTTCTCCGAGAACATGCCTTAGAAAAAGCCCTCGCATGGGCAGGGAGGGAAGGGACCTGCTGCAGACAGGACTGTGCAGCCCACAGGGGCTTGAGCAGAAATGAAGGAGATGGCTTATGAAGCTGCCCACGTGGGAGTCACATGGCTTCTGTGAGAAGTTAGGCAGACGGAGGCTTATCTGAATCAAAGAGCCTTCCAGTAACTCAGCTGATGCATGGAGAAGAAACCGCCTCAGGCTACAAGTGCCAACTGTTAGTGCAAAAAACAACTTCGATATAAATTTCTTATTCCAGAAATTTTGTTCTAGGTCTGGACAAGCTGACAAATTTATAATTGTTTTTCAAATGAGTTTTTAATAGATACCCACTTTTTCTGAGGTGTGTGTGCAGGGAATACAGAGTCTCTTCTGTACATACCTATATTCTGCATGTACAGAGAGAAGCATCCAGACACCAATTTTCAATAAAGAAAGTGAATTCCCCAAAGAGACTCTTGACTGAATTAAGGCTATTGTTTGTAGGAAGCCAGGTATAGTGATGTGAAAAACTAATTTTTAATAAACACCAGGACTGGTGGGGCAGGGAGGAAAAGGTACAGTGTGTTTTTTTTTTGTTTTTTTTCCACGACATCTACAGACACAAGAAAAGCACTTAGACATGTAAGGCTGGGAACCATGCTGGAGCAACCACCAGTGTGGGTGATCAAAGAGGGTCTTGGACATTCGAGAGGGCGGGGGCTCCCTGCACTGTCAGAACTCCACATAAATCTCATGCTTGTTGCAAAAATCTCATGGGAGGGAAGGAGGCTCTAATTAAGCCAGCCATGTCCCTGTCCAGAAAGCACCCTTTCTCCCACACAAACATATGCAAAATCAGAATGTTCTGGGAACAAGCAGTTGACTTCCAAACCTTAGGTTGGGTATAGAGAGTGACAGAGAAGAGACCTTGGTGCCTTGTAGTCTTAGATACAAATGGAGAAGTAGGAAGTGACTTGCAATTTTGTGCAAAACTCATGTCCTCCTGCTTGCGGGCACTACCATATGTACCCGACCTCATCCTCTTTGTCGTCGTCCTCATCCTCATCGTCCTCCGTCACGGCCCGGGTGTGCACCCTCAGCTTCCCCGATTTGTCCTTTGGTCCCAGCTCCCGTTCATCCTCCAGGTCATCGAGCAGGACCACAGAGCTGCCACTGCCAAAATCCCCTGAGGTTTCCTGCTCTTCTTCTGAAACATGCAGACAGACCTGAGGTTAGTTTCTGCTTATACCTGTCAGGGGTTCCCTTTGGACATGACTTAGCTATAAGGCAAAACCATGTAATTTATTTTCTAAACGTCAAAAAGTATCCCTGGGCAGGAAGCATCCCTACCCCACTGGGGTCAGTCTCTGAAGCAGGGACTGCAAACTTTGTTCTTATAATTCTTGAGATGCTTCTACCTTCTCAGGAGGTTTACAAGTGAAAAGTGGCGGCAGTCTAAGTTGCCTCTGACTCTCAAAAACTGTCATCCAACTCTTTGGTCATGGTGAGTTCCTGCCCCTTTCAAAGCTAGCTATGCATGAGTTCGTATGATTTCAGGGTTACTATGTCTCCACTGCAAACTCACAAGAGACCAGAGCTACTGCTTGAAATTCTTCTGCTGAGATTCGTACACAGTAAAGACCCGCAGGGCTAATGCAGAAGGCCTTACTCACCACAGCTCACAGCACCCTGTTTCCTGGTGCCAGCCAACTCGTTCCCGTATTTATCCACACACCAGCACTGCCCGGTGCTGCCGTGGCACTGTGTGGCTTTGTAATAGCCCTCCTCATTACACCGAGGTATGAATGCCCCTAAGGGAACAGAAGGTACAACTTCAGTCAGAGATACTCAGCATTAATGCCCTCCCACACAGTGGCAAAGGCGTGCCCATCAGACGGAATATTTGCTGTAGGGCCGGCAGCAGGCGCTGGGTAGTTATTACTTAAGATTATAGGGCCCTTGGCCTCAAGGGCCCAAATGCATTAAACTCTGTGGAGCTCAGTTTTTAAACAGGCTTGATGATAGTGAACATGTTTTGAACACATCTATGTTCTGGGTGCTGATCTAAACCATGCATATGTATGTATATATACAAAAACATTCACACATACCATTGTTACCTTTTAATAAACAGAAAACGGAGGTCCAGGAAAACTAACCTTTCCCAGGCACCTGCTAGTCAATACCAAGTCCAGGATTCACATCCTTTAATCTGACTGCACAGCAGTGCTTTTCAAACTCCTGTGTTGAAGAACTTGTTTTTAATTCTAATTTCCAATCTTTCATGGACCAATACTTTGCCCTTGCATAAAGTGAGTCTGTGAAGAAGTTACTATAAAACTTTCTAAATGCACCAATTTCTGTACTTAATGCTGACTTGTAATGAGTGTTTTATGAACTCCCAGGGAATGGACCACACAGTTCCAAGCCAGTCCACTGCCATTCTCCTCCTAACAAAGAGGTGGTGAGAGCCAGGGGCTTTATGTGCGTGATTTCATGGAGCCATTGCAATGGTACTATAAGGTGTGGGTGCTATTTCTTCCTGCTTACAGACAAAAATAGTGATAAACTGGAGGTAACCGACTTGTCCAGGATTAAGCAGGATTCCTTAATTAGTTTATTTTTCCCTTTAACACTTGAGAAAGTCCTGGTTTTTATGCTGTATATACTTTCAGTGAGATGAATTACTGGTGGTACAGTGTTAGAAAATGCTACCTTTGCTTTCCTGACACTACTTGGTCACAATACATTATTACTGGAGTACTACTGCTGATTCTGTTTTCCGGTCCTTTCAAAAATATGTTACTAAGTGATGGAGACATATAATTGTTTTGGTATTTTTCTATACTCCAGGCATTTTGTATATAAAATGAGAATGATGTCTTCCCTGAATGATTCACCCATAAAAATATTTTGGGCCTGATGCTTATTTTGGGAGGTAAGGGCAACATTTTGAGTATCATTTCATGGTTCTGATTTATTTGGGCCAAAATTTGGTAACTAATAATATCCATTTCATCTAGGTTTTCATGGTTGTTATTTAAAGTGGTGTATAGCAGTGGTTGTCAAAGTATGGTCCCAGGACCAACGGCATCACCTAGAAACCCCTTAGAAATGCAAATTCTTGGACCTCACCTCAGACATCCTGAATCACAAGTTTGTGGCATTTCTGTACATAGGAGTTTAATATCCCATTCATGTCAGTATTTGAGTCCTTCATATTGTCAAGTTTGTGTATTTTATCAGTTTGAAGATTCCTTGAAATTTCACTTTGGTACACAGGACTTTTTTTGTTGGGTTCTAAATATTTTGTAGTTTCTACTTTGTCTTATCTATAAAACCCCCAGATGTATGGGGTTTGGCAATCTTGTGCTGTACCTGGTGAATTCGATCTGTGGTCATTTACTTGAAATTTGTTGAGTTGTTGTGGGACAGTCCATGGCAGGTGTTTCATGTGGGTTGGAAAGACTATAGAGTCAATACGTGTGTGTAAATACATATATAAACGTAAATGCCAGTTAATTTTGTCTAACATCTCTTCTTAAAACTTACAGGTCACATAAAGACTCTGAATAAGATTTTGGATATGACAATTCCTCCCTGCAGTTCTATTTTGTTTTAAGTTATGAATAGAATCTAATGTTTTGGTCAATGACATACTAAATATACGATAGTGGTCCCATAAGATTATACTACTATATTTTTACTGTAGCTATTCTTTAAAAAAAATTTATTTTGATAAATTTAGGGGGTTGAAATGGTTTCTGTCACATGGATGAATTATATAGTGGTAAAGTCAGGGCTGTTAGTGTACTTGAACTATATACATTGTACCTGCACCTCGTACCTTTACTACAAGTAGATACCTACCATTGTGTCACAGTTGCCTAGAGTATTCAGTGTAGTGGCATAGGTTTATAGCCTAGGAGCAAGAGGTGACACTGTCTGGGTTTCCACAAGTAACATTCTGTGATTGCACAGCAATGAAGTCACCTCATGCCATGTTTCTCAGAATTATCCTGTCATTAAGCAACTCATGACTGTGTATCAATTGATGGCATAATACAGTAAAAAGAACAGCAAGATGATAATGTTATAAAAAGGGGTATTTATCAACTTTAAAATTGTTTCAGGTATAAATGTGTCTGGCCCATTCACATTTATTGTGATTGCAGAAATGCTTACTCATCTCTGCCACTGTTTGTTTCCTATGTATCATTTTCCCCATTTCCTTCCTTTTGGGGAAATCATCAAGTTTTCTCTACTTCATGTCTTTCTTGCATAGATTTAAAAACTATACATTCTAATATTTTTGTGGTTGTCCTTAAATTTTCTATAGAGAAGTGCAGTTTTTAAGTTAATCTCTATATATTTCCTTTTCTTCCTGAACAAGCTAAACACATTCTTACCACCTTTTAATCACTTTTCCCAGTCTGAAATTTTAATTTTACCTTGCTATCAAAACATTTTTATAGGTCATATTTATTTTGATTTAGCAG